TTTCCTCATGTCAACAGCAAGGCCTTATGCATATTTCTGCATATTTGCCCCCAACTCTCAATTGCTCTTGTTTTTCTTCAGGTTGCCACTCAGAGGTTCGGCCAGTGGAGACAGGTGGAGGTGTTGTGGCACCTGGAGGCTCCCTCCGCCTCACCTGCAAGGCTTCTGGATTCACCTTTGCTGACTATGCAATGCACTGGATCCGCCAGGCTCCAGGGAAAGGGCTGGAGTGGGTAGCAGGAGTGAGCAGTCCTACGGGAAGCAAACAGTGGTACAACTCCAAGGTCGAGGGAAGGTTCTCCGTCTCCAGAGACAACGCGCAGACTTCAGCTCATCTGCAGATGAACGGCTTGAAGCCAGAAGATTCTGCCTCGTATTACTGTGCAAGAGGCACATTGACAGCTTCTGGCTTCCTCTTTCTACAAAAACTGCAGACACCTTCTGGCACAGCAATGAAGGTGCTGGAGAAATACAGCTTGCCAGGACCACACAGACAAACATGAACCAGGTTTGTAATAAATAGACAGAGAGAGAGAAAGGCAGACAGACGGACAGATAGGCAGAGCGCAATCGTAACGATGTTGCTATGTTGTCAGGTACACATGAACAGACAATGTATGAGCGGATCCAATCAAGATCTGCCCCCTTTGCCTGTTACATGACTGAAGATGTGATTCGCTGCATTAATCGTTTACAAGTATCTCACTTATCCCTGTGAATTAGGACTGTGACAAATGAAGTCCATCCAAACAAATTGTCAGGATGCTGCTGTAATTGCACAAGCATGTGTCCTGTATGCATGGATTTAGTCTGGTCTCCCTTCTGAAGCAATTTCAAGGGTGAGCTAAGATTTTCCACTGAGCACAATGAGGAGAGTTGGAGAGCACCCATCCACCGCCCTCCCTCCCTCCCTCCCTCCCTCTCTCTCTTCCTTTTTCTTCCGTACACACATGTACAAACCCACAAATGTGTGAGAGCATACAGAAGCAAAGAGCAAGAAGGAGCGGGAGACAACAATCCAGATAACATGAAGGGAGCACAAGTGGTGAGAAGAGATCAAACTGGAAGCAAAGCTAACAGTGACCTGCAGAGGAAACAGGGTC